TTGTTGTCCCAGCCTGCCTCCCCTCAGCTTAATTAATGCAGATCACATGAGTTTTGGAACTGTTGAAGTATTCTGATAGCTTTCAGAATTGTCCATTTCTCACAAAAAAAGAAAAAATTGGGAAAATATTGAAAACGTTTTTTTTTTGTGTTCTTAGTGTCATGGTCTGTAAGAACCAAATTAGCTATTGGAGAAATATTTTTGTGTCTATTTACATAAAATTATGCTGTGTTTAAAAGTTTGATGTTGTTGCTATTTCAGGCATAACTTGCTTTCTTTGAGAAAGTACAAATATACAAACCTGAAATGGAATGGGCTATGCATCACTAAGGCCCAAGTGTCTTGTACACTTTAGCCTTATGAACACAATGTTCCTCCCTTCCTCCCCCCCCACCAATACCACTTAAAGATTTAGTTTTTTAAAGTCTGCCTTTTTTTCCTCCCTTCTATATGGAACTAGACTATGACTAAAAATCTTCAACTCTGTCAAGCTTTCCTTCCTCAAGAAAGTATGCTGACTTGAGTCATGAAATAGTTAATATTTTAATTCATTCTGAATCTCATGCTGATTTTGGCTATTGGTTTGTTCTACCCACACACACTTCGTGTGCACTGTAAAAATCAAGAATGGTAGATATGGTTCTTCTGTGGCCATTTGCAATTCTGAAAGAAATGAGAGAGGAAAAATTTGAACCTTTTCACTGGTTTTCTATTCTGCATCTTCTTGCTGAGAGGTTTGTTAGCCCTCTTCACTTTACAGTGCTACAGTATTGAACACTGTTGCCAAGACTTCCTTCCTCAAAGGGAATGCAGTAACTTTTTGGTGGCTTTTAATGTGGTGGCAAACATTTAGCTGAACATGGTCCTTCATGTTCTCAAGATGGAAGAATAGTTTGTGATTACGTAGCATGAAGAAATCCAAGAAGTATGCATCTGTAGATAAATGTAGTTGTAATAAAGAATGTGTCCTGATTTGGACTGTATCTTGGGTATTGGAGTGAAAAATGCTGTCAGTAGATGAAAGAAAGATAAGATTACGTGCATAGTTGTGAGGGTCACAGAGAGAATAATGTTCTTCTGAACAAGAATGTGTCACTGCTAGGATAGGTGACTATGTCATGCCATATTAAAGTAGAACAAGATAACTATATTGAAGCCAGTTTGTCTTTTTCTAAGCCCATTCCTCCAGTGTTCTGCTGTGAACAAGACAAATCCATCATTTTCTGCTGAACTTAAACTTTTAAAGTAAGAACAGACTGTTGTTAACTGTTAATAATGTGAATTTTGGAATTCTTCATGAGAGTTTCTACTTGTGTTCACAGTAGAGACAGGGGCTTAGATCTTTTCAATTTTAAAGGTATAGTGAAGCTGCTGTATGCTTTCTTTTCTTTTAGTCCTATCTGCTGCTGTAATTAAGTATCTCTCCTTAATAACTGACTTAAATCCCTAGAGTGCTATAGAGTATAATTACTACTACGATGTTAGGATAAAGCAGTTAGAACTGTACTTCGATGTTGACACTGAAAATAAAGCTTGCCTTATTTTCTAATCAGTTTGCTTCCTGTGAGATACTACAGTGCAAGAATTTGTGGAGGAGCCAAAGCCTTGCATATAAGCTTGGGAAGTGTGATTTCATGAGATGCATGCCAAAAAAGCTTTTGAGAAGGAAAGACAGAAATATCTGTTTGGTAGTCTGTGAGAAGTTATATGAAGTAAACCTAAATAAAAGTTCCTCTTTCTTTGATTTGTGGTTGCATTGATAAAATACAAAAATGTGTGCTGAGAGGATGTGATTTTTCTACATGTGCACTGTTCCTCCTATTTTTAAGCATTTCAGAATAGAGTGAAACTATGATACTAGGCTAGAATTAGAAGAGAGTGAAGCTTCTAGCTTTTCTGATGTGCTGCTGTAGAGGTGTTCTGGAGTGATTTGTGCACTTCCAGTTAAACTTTTATTGGAGGTGCTGGGGAAAAAAAGAAAAGTACGGTAGTAGAACTGCTTAAAGTGACTGACACAGCTGCAAGCTACCAAGGGACTTAAAAGCTTGATCTTAGTATAATGGAGTGAAGTAAGATCATATGATCAAAATTTTGTAGTTTGTGTATGGGCTTTTGAGTGCTCCTGAGACAAAAAAGTGTGATTAAACAGGAAGCAGGAGTCAGATGCCCCATTGGTCTTAAAAGGGGAAAAAAATAAGGAAGAAAATGTCCAGAGTATTTGGAGAATGCTTGTGGGTAGGCTGGGTTTACAAGTTAGGATGGAAAATGGGTTCACTGATAACTAAAATCAGTCATGTGAAGGAAATGTGTGAAAGAAATCAGCAAAATGATAAAGAATGGATAAACGTGAGGTTATAATTTAGGCAGCAGTTCTGTGATTCTTGTAAATACTACAAGAAGTGAAAAGATGCTCCTGGACAGTGGTTTGACAGAAGAGGAATTTGTGGACCTGCTCAGCGATTGAAGAAAAAATGGAAAACCATTGTTGATATTTTACCCATCACTTCTGAATATTTCTCCTGAGATCTTGGGAAAAGTGTTCGAGACAAGAAAGAAGATAAAGGCTCAAAGAGAAGAAAGAATAACGTGAGGAGCCAATGATGAAGCTGAATGAATGCAGTTGACTATCCCTGACCTGATGTTTTTTACTGCTTATGATGGCTTGAACATGGTGAGAGAAGACAGAAGCCAAGCCCTACCTATACAGTGTCTGGTCCTGTGGTGGAATAGAAGATCTTCAGTTATTGATGTATTAGCAGTTTGTAACATTTGAGGCATGATAAATGACTTTGGTTTAACAAAAGCCAGCGTTCAGTGATAGTGTGCCGACTTGAGAACTGTAGTGTGTGTGTTATGAATGTTTGGTTCTTCTGTGCCACAGCTGTGACATACAAATATTTGCAAAGAAAATATTAAAATACGTGAGTTTGCCTTTTTTTGGTGTGTTTTTGTGCATGTGAAAAGCAGGGTATCTAATGTTAGTGTTTATATTACATATGAATGATACAGTTTAAAATGAATTTTTCAGAGCGACTACTCTGTGACTGCCAAATACAAATAAAAATGACTGTGTTACTTCTTATACTTAGAAATCTAGACAAACTGCATAGCCTGTTTGAGTGTTGTGGAAGTTAATGGAAAATCTGAAGAGAATGAAAAGGAAATAGAGTCTGCCAAAAGATAGTAATATTTGTTCAAAGAGATGTGTAAAAGAATTTCTTTGTATGCTGAAGCATATCTAAATACTGCTTGTAGTCCTGATGATTTTTGTCCCTGTTGCCAAAACTGAGTGTAGATCAAGCTGTGGATTTCTTCCGTGAGCTATGATTGTATGATGAAATTTGTATTCTCAACACTAAGCAGGTGTTAAGCACCAAATTGCTATATGGTATATGTGATTGAGTATGTCAATTTCTAGTGGAGAAACAACTTGTTCTTGAATATGCAGAGTATGTTTGTTAGAAATAATTCAGAATAACTTGCTTGAAAACGAGGTCTGCTGTGTTTCAGAAACTTACTTGTCATTATGCAGGCTCCCTTCCCCCCCAGCTTTTCAAGTGGTGGAATCTCAGTACAAATCATTTGGCACAAAACTTTGGTTATGAAACAAGTTCTTATAATCTTTTTGTTTGCTACTGTGGTTAAAAGTAACTTTTTTTTTCTGTAGTTTCCTCTGTTCATATTAAAATGATTTTTTTTTTTCAGTTTTAATTCTAAATGTTTTGAAAGCAGATGAAATAATTCTGAGTAAAATAATTATTAAATGTCTGCTTTTACTTTACAACCCGCACTTTCAGTCTTAATCTAACTGATTTGGCAAGAATACTTGCTTAAATATTAACTTTCAGTTTGGAACACAGGAGATACATGAGAGCAGTTCTTCAGTGGTACTGGAATAAACTCATTGATAATTTTTTTTTACACTAGTTGTGGTTTATTAAGTTATGAACTGTTTCTTGCTTTATTCCTATAGCAGCAATTTAAATGCTATTGTAACAGTACTAGAAATTAAGTTTTAAGAAAATAAGGTTTTTTTTTTTTTTAAACTGTATGTATATGTATATAACTAATCAACTTCATTTTGTAAGTAAACTAACATCTGTAGATATATGTAATACAGATGTAATTGGCAGAAACAGTACTTAGAAGACTACTGATGACGTTCCCTAGTGATGTGATAAATGTCCACAAGTTTTTCACTTATTTGCAATGAAGAAATAGAATATAAATATATACACATATGTATATAAAACGCGCACGTGTGTGTATATATATATGTATATGTGTGTGTGTGTGTATGTATATATATATATATGTGTGTGTGTGTGTGTGTGTGTGTGTATGTATTCCAGACTTATCTGTTTAGGTGTATAGGGATGGCCCAGCTGACTGATTCATCATACTGGGGGATTGTCATTAGAACTATTTACTAATTTGTTGTCACATCATGTGGTCAGTAACTGCTTACTTCAACTCTCAGGTTTTTCATTGCTCAGATGCACCAATCCATGGTGTAATTGAGCTAGCCAATATTATTAAATGGCTACTGTTTTTTTTTTTTTGTATCTTCACTGTCAGATAGGTCTCTCTGCCACTCTTTTATCTTCTCTGCTACCCCCGTTTTTCCCCTTTTTTTTCCATCATCAATTTTTTCTTCCTACAAACCTGACTATAATAAATATGTAAACAGCTATTGTATGCTTTTAAAATCATGAACAGTTTTGTGAGCTTTCAGGAGATTGCAGATAATTTTTACTTGAATAGTTGAATTTCATAAATAGGACTGAATAGGCAGCAAATTTAGAGTTGTTGAGAAAGTGCTTGAGCTATCTGCTGCAATAAAAAAGAAGTAGATTTGTGTTTTGTCTTAAAGTAATGCTCTTTTAGAAAGGAAGAAATTGACAATGAAATTTGGGAGAAATTAAAAAAGAGGAGATTGTCATGATAGATTATAAACTATTACTGTATTTAATACATAATATACGTTTTTCCCCCCACAGAAATTAGCAGAGTACGGAAAGACATGTATAACGACACATTAAATGGTAGTACGGAGAAGAGAAGTGCAGAATTACCAGATGCTGTGGGACCTATTGTACAGTTACAAGAGAAACTATATGTGCCTGTAAAAGAATATCCAGATGTAAGTATATCTTTTTAGTCCCTACATTATTTCTTGATCCTTGTGGTCGTCTCTAAATGTAAATTTCCTGTGGTGCCCCTCTTGGATCACTTTTGAATTGCTTCTGACAAGGTACTTCTTAGGAAAGCTGTGCATGTGCTGCTTGGTGGCTTGATACATAGTAAAGCAAAAGGTGAGTGATTGGAGGTTGTGCGGATTGTAATTTTTCGTATCTAAGATCTGAAATATCTTGTTCATTCAATGCTGTCGGTCCTGAGAAACTGTGTAGTAAGTTTTGTGGGGGAAGTATTTCTTGGGCAATGTACTTTCCTCTTAGTATTACTTTAAAAGTCATCTACTCTGCCTAGACCTTCCTAGATGCCTCTTAGAGATGGCACCATTTGTCCCATACCTCTGTAACCAGTTCTTTTGCATATAGAGTTTTCCCTCAGGAAAAGTTTCTTGCATGCATTCAACTGTTAGAGTTTCCACTGAGTCAGCTTTTCTTTTGAATGTATAGTATTTTGAAGGAGAATGGTTTCATTTGACTAGAAATATTTAGAACTCTCTGGTCTGAACAATTTCTTAAAACAGCTTGGAAAATAGTCCTGTCAAAATCTACCCTATGCATTTTCTTTAATCGTTATCAGGAAATAGTTAGTTCCCCCTAGTGCAGGAGTCGAAGTAGGGGAGTGTAGGGTTTAAATGAGGCCTTTGTACAGTGAAGTTATACAGAAGTGGAAGAAAGCACATAACAGCAAAGAGTGGATGTAACACTGGTATTTCTGCAGTTTTCTTCTGCATTGTTACTAGATAAAATAATAATTTTATAGAATTTAAATGCTGCTTAGAATATTCAGATAGTTAAGTTAAACTTCATTAGAAAGTTAAGTGCAAGTCACTATTCAAAACAATAGACAAGTGTCTCCCTTTTCAATCTTCACAGAAGTGGTTTATTGCTTCCGAATTAAAATAACTGTTTAAAGAATTTGCGCTGACGTTAAGAATATCTCTTCTTTCTCCTTTCTTTATTCTTCCAATATAAGTAATGCATATAAATATCTTGCTGCCTGTGTGTATATGTATATGTACGCTTATCCGCATCTATGCCAAAAAACACTAGTTTTTTTGAAACTACTTGGAATTCTAGATCTAGATCTAGTTCTGTAAAATAAACTCACATTTTATTTAGATACATGTATGTGCTTTAGAGTTACATTAGTTAATAGCTTTTTAAAGCATAGCTTATTGTTGAAATTTTTTAATTTTATAATTGTACAGTGCATCATTTGTGAATAGCTGCCTTAACTATCATTTGCAGTTTTTATGGAAACTGATGCTTGATCTACTAGGATCGCGAGGTAGAAGGAATAAAAACGAGTTGTGTTGATGATTGAGCTCTTCTTCCAGAAATTGAGGGTGCAGTAGCTTAGCACTTGTCTGGCAGTTAATTATCAAATATATTGTAAATAAGCAGGGAAGAGGTTGTCTGTGGTACTGATAAAACACGTGTGTAACACTTTGGCTGTAGGATTTCCTGACTAGCTACTCTTTGTTTGCCTTGTTATTTTATTAAGCTCTTGGAAATTCAGAAGTTGGAGTGGCTTGTGCTTTGTATATGTATGACCTGCAATAAAAAGGTAGTTGGTTCTTGAAAGACAGTGTGAAAAGCTTGATAAAAAACCTGGAACTTCTGTCGCTAATCTTTTGCTTGTCACTAACAAATCCTTACGCTAGCTCAAACGTACTTTTCTGATATTTCTGAGCTTGCTTGCGACTATGTTCTTTAAACCAAGAAAAGAACAGTAAGTTTGAGCTTACTCAGTTCCACGCTTGAAGAAAGAGCAGTACATTCTGTTCAGTCAAGTGCTGCTTGTTTCAGTTATGTTGGCATCAGTTAGTATAACTTGCCTCCACCCATGCCAGGTATTATATGGTATTAGACTATCATGTCAACTTGGTAGGAGACGAGCGTGTTTTTCTGGATAGGTTCTGAGTGTTGTACTCTGCAGTTCATACTTAAATGGAAAGCCAATTCCTGCATTTTCTGTGTGTTCTTCTTGCCTACCTGTTGTCTGTCTACATTTGTTCCTGGCCTCAGAATGAGGATCTGCCCAGCCTTGATATTAGTTAAGAACTGGAATATTCAGTGCATACAAGAACAGCTCTTGCACCTCTTCTAGAAGTTAGGGATGAAGTATCTTGCTTAGTGTTTAGGCTAGTACGGTGTTCATAAAGTCTGCAGCGTTGTAATTCCAACTTGTCTCAAAGAACATGAAATTTACTTGTAAAGATAATTTCGATTTATTATATGTGCTATTAGCTAATTGCTAATAGCACAGCATTACATTCAACCTTTTATTCATATTTAGCGATTGCTTAAATTGAGATTGGATACAGGGAAGACATGCTATGCAGGCTATGAAGGTGACTTTGATAAATCCAGTTAATTCCTTCCATTGCTGTCATTCTCTTGCTATTGACAATCTTGTTTGCCTTACAAAGACATAAAGCTGAGTAATCGTAAAGGTTATTAGGTGGAAAGTGATGAGAAATAGTTTTCTGATGTAGATTTAATTTTTCTTTAAACAAGCAAAAATAAACATCAGTAAACTAATGTGGTGCTCTAATAAACGTACATTCTGTGAAGTATTTTGAAGTTATTGGAAGCATATAGACAAGTTGACTGGAGTGGATACCTAGTAGCACTGGAGTGTAATTTTGGGCATGGAGTCCTAAATCAATTGTGAGACATAAAAGTAATGGTCTGTCATCTGTTTAAAACAAACATATGTACCTTATATGTGGAATGCATATGTGTACATAAACATACAACTATGTATGTATGTATTAAAAATAAAACTGAGTTTTCATAGCTTGTTTTGCTACTACTATTTAGCTGTTCTTAGAGTACTTACACAGAGAAAGTAATACATAAGCTTGAATTATGCATCTAACATGCATATAAAGTCCTCTTCAGTCTCTTAATTTTCTTGAGTGTTTGTTGAATATCTTTCACTCTAGGTTTGATTCTGAAAACATAGTTGATGTAAGGTTTGAATTTACAAAATTAGTCTTCATCTGAAACAGCTAATAGTTTTTAAATGTGGGCTGTGTAGAGTTTGTACTTCTGTACAAAAATTTGAAGGAGTTGAGTTTTTCATGATGCAATCTGTATCTGATAAATAGCCTACCTGTTGGGGTGGTGTACAGTCAGGCTCATTTTTTTTCAGTGCATGCTACAGTAATATAATTGCACATACTTTTATGTATATATTATTTCCTTATTGTGTCCTTGGAAGATGTTTGATATTTATGGAAATGTCTTAAAACTGAGATTTGGGCTATTTAGGGTTTGTTTTTTTTTGAGACATTTATGTACTCTAGAAGTGCGTCAAATGAATTATTTAGAATGAAGAATAGGTTCTGGTATTTGTATGTAATTTGCCCCTTGGTTAAAATATGTTCTCTCTATAATTAAATCTTTGTATCATCATTTAACTTTCTGGTGTTGTGGTTTAAAAGCACTTCCAATTCATGGAAAAATGTTCCATAGCAGTATTAAAGAGTATGTCTGGTAATATCTGGAAAATAAGGAGCTCGTAGGAAACAGAAGAATGAGAAAGGTATGCTGTTGTCTGTAGGTGAATGGTTTAATCTGTCTTCAGCATTTCTTATGCTTCAGATAAGTGATTTCTTTGCTTGAATTTCCCTTTAAATGCCGAGACTAAATTTTGATACCAGTTTAAACAATTTTTGGAATTAGTACCTACAAATGTTGGACTGAATAGATGTTTTTCTGTTATAATCATGGCTTTATTTTTAATAAATGCCCTGTTAGCTCTGATTAATGTGAAATTCTCTCTTGGAACTCTTCTGTGCCTCTTCAGTATAAATGTAAGAACTCAGTAATTATCGCATCTGAAGTAGCATGTCCTTCGAGGATACTGAAGCTCAGAGGCCAGCAGTGATAAACAGCTTGCGCATACTTTCTGGCCATTTTAGTTGAAACTGTTTAGGTAGTACAACAGAGCGATGAACACAGGGGTTCATTTACTATGAACTCACTGACAAAACATTTAAATCCTTTTTCAGTTTGGTAATATCAGAGTTTAATAGTATCCCTAATATGGATTAGAAAAATGATAACATCTTCTTTATTTATTGTTCTGATTGTTTTATTTAAGCTCGTCATTCCCTAATGATCAGAGAAGGAAGCTTAAAAAGCTAGCCTTGTTTATCCTTGCAGTAGTAAGGAAAGAGGGGAATATAACTCTTCTCGGTAAATAAATTTGGTCTACAGAGTAACCATCAGAGGTTGAGGAAGATTTGGGAAAACGTCATCTACTGATATAACTATCAAATACATTTGAAGGAACTAAAATAGTTTGCTGACCAATGAGATATTTGGAACAGTGCTCTACTAAAAGTAGTAAGTTTAAAAATAAGCTATGTTTGAGTTGGAACATCACATTTATGAGGTTTTACACTCTGTTTGCAAGTAATTGAGGAGTAGATTCGTTGGAGGAAAAAAAAAAAAAAATAAGCCTTTGTTTAGATGTTACCAAAATGGAAATCTACAAGCCTTCTCTCCTCCTGTACCTCATGTTTTATTGGGTGTGTTTCCATTACTGACAATTCAACTTTTGAACCAGAACTTAAAAGATAGTTGTCTTTCACACTCTACTGTTTAGGGTATTTTCTAGCACCCTGCTTGAAAAATGACATACATCATAATTTGGTTCACATATAAGCCATTGAAATCTTCAAAATATGTTTATTTTAGCTTCAAAGGTACCTTGAAGATTTCAAAACAAGTAAAGAAAAAAAAAAGTAATCCTCTTGCGTAGTTTACGATGGCTCAACGTCAGTTCACCAATACCAATGAGTTAAGTCTATACCTCATCCTTGTGATAGTTTTCTTCCTCATATTTAATGCTTCAAGCATCGAGTGCAATTACATTTGACAAGAGATTACATAGTAATTTATCTGTTAATATTACTTACATTTTCTCCTTTAT